TGAGACCCTGCCTCAAAAAAGTAAAATAGAATAAAAATAAGCCCTTTGGACTTAGATGGTAAATGTTAGCAACTACTTTCTGATATACTGAGGATTAAACTAAAAGTGCCACGAATGAGAAATCTGTGACTAAAACACTGATGGTTAAGAGTTGTAACCTGACGCAATCATTTTGGAAATCTGCTTAACAATATGTGTCAATGTAGAACATATACAGACCTTATGATCAAACAATTCTAATCCTTTAAACAGATTGTGGTATAGTCATACAATGGAATATTGTACAGAAACAAGAATGAACAAACTACTATAACACAAAACATGGATTATCCTCATAATACTACAGTGCCAAATGAAAGATGCCAGGCTCAAAAAAGTACATATACAATCATTCCATTCTATACATGTAATATATCTAAACAAAATTAAGTATACATGCACCACAAAAGAAATACCCAGCACATAGCAGCATTTTTCACAATAATCAAAAAACATCAATGACCATCAATATCAGAAGGGATAAACAAATTATCATGTATTTATACACTGTAATATTATATAGGAATGAGATCTCTGCACATAACATGGATGAATCTCACAATAATACAGTATCATGTGAAAAACACTCAAGAGTATTACAGTACTATATCATTAATATAGAAAGCAAAAACCGGCATTCTACGGTATAAAATGTCAGTATAGTTACCTTTGGCGTGGAAGGAAAGTGAGAAGGGAGATGAGGCTTGAACACTAGTAACTTCTATCTTTTTATCTGAGTAGTGACAACATGACTGTACTTTCTTTGTAAAGACTCACTAAATTATATCTTTTTTTTGGTCTTTTGAGACAGGGTCTCGCTATGCAATTCAGGTTGACCTGGAGTTCACTTTGCAGCCCAGGCTGGTCTTGATTCTCCTGCCTCAGCCTCCAGAGTGCTACGATTACAGGACTCTGCCACCATGCTCAGCTACTAAATTATATCTGAAAAGTTTGTGCTACTACTCTGTATGTTATCATTAAACTACAAAGTTTTATTACTAAAAAGTAAAAGGTTTGGGGAACTAAACATCCACAGATATGACAGTTAATTGCAGCAATAGTTGTTTTCTGGAAGACCTGGTGAATCTCATTACACACAAACACAGTGCCAAAACAGCAACCCAGATGCTGAGCAATGCAGTATGCTACTAATATTTGATGCAGTTTTGATGCAGTTTTGTCACCTGGCTTTCTGGAAATCATTTAGAAAGCAGCCTGCATCTGGCTTTTGCAAAAGTTCAAAGCAATTTACAGTATTTATTTTGCTAGGTCTCAGCCTATAGTTCAGGCTGATCTTAAACTCATGGCAATCTTCTTGTCTCAGCCTCTGGAGTACTGGAATTACAGACAATCGCCACCACATCCATTTATAGTATTTTACTTTAATACCATATTACTGATAAATCAGTTGTGTTCTTAATTCTTGTTTTTCTAACTAGTTTTATTTCTAAAAAAGTAGTCTATGCCAGTCATGTTTACAGGAAAATCTGAGTTGAACTAATAAAGAAAGTTCACTAGTTACCGTAATAGTGTGAAACATTCTTACTTCAGTATCTAGTCTCTTTTAACTGGTTACTTGTATATATAAATTATTATAGATTTATATAAATATGTAAATAAACATATATATTTATATATAGAACTAGCAGAATATATAGTCTGCTAAAAAATGTATACACATTTCAGGAAAAGAAAAATAGTATATATATATATATATATATATATATATATATATATATATTTTTTTTTTTTTAAACAGATGGTGTTGGTATCATTTTCCTATAGAGTTCCTAGAGGATATGATATATCACAGAAAACCACTATACTGCTGGCCTTTAGAGAAGAAACTGAAGATACATATGCCGTAATCTCAGTGACCAAGGTTACCAAAGTAGCAGTTTACCATACTAATAAATGTCTGGAAGCTAGTGGCCACCACTTTGAGCACCTTGCAACTGTAGAGGCCAAAGGCCTCTTAATGCCTTAATCTCATGATATTTAGTGTTACCAAGATTTTTCTACTTCTGAAGTGTATAAACATTTTTTGGTGCTTAGTCTCTCTCTCTGGTAAAAAGTAAAGATATGCATTAAGTCTTATAAAAAATCAACTAAACAAAAAATAAATAGGTTCAGAGTGAGACGATCGAGTTTAATGTGAAAAAGGGCTGGGAAATCAAACGTTAAGCTCAACAAGAGTCAAAATTTAAATGAGTGCTGACCAAAACAGATAATGCTTACAAGCACCTTATTTATAATGAAGATGGGCCTACGGTCTTCTGCATCTACATAAGCATTTTTTCTCAAGAAATTTAACAAAAAATTAGCCCTCAAAGAATAGTGAGCAGTAGAGCAGATGGAGGCTAGAAACAATGATAATGTAAGGAAAAAACAAAAACAGAAATCTGAGTTTATGTACGTAACGGGCAGTCTAGGAGGTAAGACCAGGTGATGAGATATGAGGGGAGTTACTACACAGCTTACTGATACGCACACTGAAGAGGAGGAATAGGAGACTTTATTATGTGTTGCTCCACACAGCAGATCTAGAATCTATAGGTAAAAGTTACAAAAACACATTTAGGTGCAATGCAAAAAACAAACTTTCTATGAAAGTATGGCCAATATTTAAGAGTCTATTGACTCATGCTGGGTGTAGCACGACACACCTGTAATGACATCATCCTGACAGGCAGAGGTAAGAGGAATGCAAGTTCCAGCCCAGCCTAGGCAACTTAGTGTGATCTTGTCTTGAAACTGTTTTTAATTAAAAGAGCTAAGGATGTAGGTTCAGTGAAAAGGCTCTGGGTTCAATCCCCAGTACCACACTTGTACATGCACGCATGGACATGCACATATACACACAAGGTTCATCAACTGCTTCCCACAGAAAGCAAAAAGGATTTAAAGTAGACCAGAGGGCCAAGGGTTCTAATCTTCTTTAACCATTTACTAGCTATGTTATCTGAGGCAATTTATCTATACCTCTCCAAATCTCAGTTGTCTTTATCTATTTACCTCATGATATCACTGAGAGGAATAACTAAGGTGATACACAGAAGATCCAGCGTGACAAACTAAAATGCAACACAAATGTGAATTGCTGTAGAGAGGTATTGTAACAGATCATCGCTAAGATCCTTCCAGCACTGCGATTATTAACTGTACCTTTGAGGTTACAAAAAAATTAAATACTAAATTTACAAAGCCAAGATTTGGTATGCAAAGAGAGAAAATACCAGTATGATAGAAATCCAAGAAACAGGAAATATATACATTTCATGAAGTGTTTTGAGAATGTACTTCTCTGATAGCAAATTAGTCTGCAGATCTAAAAGGCAAGGCTCAATACTAATTCAAACCATCACGATGAGACACTTGCTAAATAAATCAAGATTACAAATGTATTTGTAATCACTGACAGCATGAATCTGAATCCTAACATTAAACACAGTGCTTACATACTGTTTCTGTTTCGGGAACCTTTCTTGACGTAGGTTCACACTCTCAGCTATCTGCTCCTGACTTAGCAAGTTACCTATTAATTCAACTCTAGTCTGTGAAAGGTAAATGTGGAATAAATGGTAGTTCACAGGTGGTTGAGAAGACTCCCCTGAGATTATAAGGCATGTAAAGTCTCTTAAAAAGGTACACAGAGGAATTCATGTTAATTACACCTAACTCTCATAACTTTATTTTGTATGGCATTTTGTACAATACTGTTTTCAGAACTTTGAATTAGGGAACAAACACAACTTTTCAAATGTTAAAATAAAGGGGCCAGGGATTTAGCTCAGCAGCATAAGTGCTTGCCTGGCAAGTGCAAGGTCATGAGTTTGATCCCCAGTACTAAAAACAAACAAGCAAATAAAAAAACTGACTTGGCCAAATGTTAAAATAAGATTTAACTTTAAAATGATGATATAGGTCCATAGGTATTGAGATAGAAAGCTAAACAATAGACATATGGAAAAAGCAAATTATAAGACAATACACTCAGTAAAATTCTATGTTTATGATGGAGTTAAGTAACTCACTTTTTTTTTCTATTTTTTAAAAATGTCTGAGTTTTATATAAGAACTATGGATTTCTATTACCATTTCCAACTAGGGAAAAAACTGATTTGGAAATGTTTTTGTATGGGAATACTATTATTTAGGTCAACTTGGGGAGAAAAATACATTACTACCAAGTTGGAAAAATGAATCTAGTATTTTTAAGAATGTAAGCAGAAAAATACTTAGAGATTATACAAATTTTTCTTTTTTTTTTTAATCGGTACCAGGGATCGAACTCACGACTGCCTGCTTGCAAGGCAGGCACTTATGACGCTGAGCTAAATTCCCAGCCCCACAAATTTTTTTTTTCTAAATATGTCATTCACAAAAAACACATCTCCCTAACTGAGGAAATGTAAAGCATGTAAACTCCAAGAGAGCAGGGATTATTTTTTTGAGACAGGGTTTCACTGTATAGTTCAGGATAGCCTTGAGTTCATTATGGAGCCCAAGATGGCCTCAAACTCAACAGTGATCCTCCTGCCTCAGCTTCCTGAGTGCTGGGACACTATAGGCATGCACCACCATTCCTGGCTAAGGGTAGAGATTTCAGCTTTGATATAGTATTGTAAGCACAAAGCAAGAATTTTAAAATGATAAATAGTAAATATTATTTCTGAAGCTAAAAAGTCAAAAAATGATAAGCATTACTCTAAAACATACTTCCATTCTGGGCTGTACATATTGTATAGGATAAAAGTCACATCATAGAAATGGGGCATTACCTTTTTTAGATGACGTTATGTCACTTCTTATTAGCCAACAATATTACCACTATTAACTGTAAACTAGGAAAGTGTATAAAAGTACCAGGACACAAAAATTAATAAATTAGGCTTTTGAGTCTATCAAAGTCTGTGCAATGTAAGTCAACAAATTGCCAAATCAAAACAAAGCAGACCTACCTTGGGCCTCTTGGACCTTCCAAGTAACTGCTTCTAGGAGGATCTGGAAGCAGTCCACCTGACCTCACTGGTATGTCCTTGGCTGTAGTAATCGACTGAGATGGAGCAGCTGAAGATTCCCCAAGTCCTGGCTCAGCTGAGAAGGAACCGTATGGCAGAGTAGACTTGCTCAGAGGTTTAGAATTCATTTGTTCTGATTGCATTGGAGGGTGGTAAGCTGATGGTGGGCCTGAACCAAAAGACACAGGAGTGGGAAGCAGTGCTGGCCTAGGTTTGTCTGGAACTTGTGAGCTCTGAGAACCAGAGGCCTGTGGGACTGGGGCTGCTGTTAACGGAGGAGGTAGCCCTTGTGGAACACCAGGGGGAGGTATTCCTGGAGGAGGTGTGGCTGAAGACAGTGGTGGTGGGAGAGGCAGGATGGGTGGAGGTGCCCCTGAAGACAGAGAGGGTGGAGGGAGGACTGGCGGTGGCCCTGCAGAAGACAGGGTTGGTGGGGGAAGAACTGGTGGTGGCCCTGCTGAAGACAGAGATGGAGGCAACCCTGGAGGGGGCACAGAGGTTGGAAGAGAAGGAGGCATCACGGGTGGGGGCATGGCAGGTGGTGGCACAGTGGCAGGCAGGGCAGGGGGCATCACTGGTGGTGGCAATGATGGAGGCAATACTGGAGGGGGCATTGTTGGTAGAGGTGGAGGCATCTGAGAGTATGGAACAAAAGGAGGAGGCATTGACATGTTCCCCATGTATTGGTTCTTCATGTTCTGAAATGAACTGACTTTCTCCTGGAGATAGGTCTGGGTGGCCTTCATGTGTCCCTGCCACGTTTTCCACTGCTTTTCATATTCCTGAAGCTGATCTTTATGAGGGTAAGAATGGAGCTGCTCCTCCCACAGCTGAAACTCTCGCTCCCACTCTTGGTAGAGATGTTGAAACTGCTGCTGCTGCATCTCATAATGCCGCAGCTGTACATCTACAGACATGGTCTACAAATAAAAGGATGTAAGTTATTTCCAGACATTCACAAAGAGAATTAATCATCAGCTAAAATATTAATGAATCAACAGCATGTGAAGCCTTAAGAATTTAGAAAACAAAGACTTTAGGAGGCTACGTATAAGCTTTCTAAATTCTTTCAATGATGATCACTCTTCTTTCTTTCTTTGGCTTATTTAGCTAACTTATCATAGAGTTGGAAAAATCAAATACTGAAACAAATAGCTACATTAGCGGTATTTTTCACAAATTATTAATGCATTCATATGTAATGTAAGTAAAATTACATATTAATATTGTATAATATAGATATTACTTATATTTTGTTATATACTATAAAAAAATATATATATATATAAACACACACACTTATTATCTCTGGTGATACTGGGGATTAAACCCAGTGAGTACTGAGCTACTTAAGTGCCCTTTTCTAAAGCTATTTTTAGACAGTTTCACCAAGTTGCCTAGGTTGGGCCTGAATTTGCCATCCTCCTGCCTTCACCTACCTACCACAGTGCTGTGCTACTATGGCTGGCTAATTTTCCAAGGTGTTTTTTTTTTTCTTTTTGTACGGCTATTGAACTCATGATCTCATGCTTGCCAGGTAGGTGCTTGTGCCACTGAGTGAGCTAAATCCCTGGCCCGATTTTTCAAGTTTTTAATATTACTAAGGATCATTTTAAGAACTTAAAAAGTGATCTATTACCAGAGATCTACAGATACAAGATTATATCTCAAAGACACGAAGACATATGGCATAGAGGTACATGCCTGTAATCCTGCACTCGGGAGGCTGAGGCAGAAGGATAGTCCTGAATTTGAAGCTAGCTACATAGCGGGTTCAAGGCCAGCCTGAACTGCATAGTGAGACTCTGCCTAAAAAAACAATCAATAAAAAATAAAAAATAACATATGCTTCCTTAGTTGTTTCTGGTGATTACTTCTTTATTTGCATTGTATCCAAAAATGCAAGTTATTTTGCACTTTTGTGGTAAAAATCCTTTGTTTTATTTTTCTGAGAGGTAATGTTAGAAATTGAACCCATGGTCTTTACCCTGGGTACACACACAAATTTTTGTTTTTTGTTTTTGTTTTATCAGACAAGGTCTTGGTATGTGATTCGGGCTAGCTTCAAACTCAGTGATCCTCCCCAGAGCTGAGATTACACACAGGCACCACCGGATCTTGCTAAAATTCCCAATTCTTAAATACCCCAGGAAGAGTACTCTAACATCTGGCCCAAACTAACATGATCAGGAGACTCCAATCTACCCAGCCTCCCCGAGAGATACCACTATACCTACACAATCCTCCAGGCAATCTGACAGGTAACTACTTGGACACCCCTTGGGAACATCTAATTGTTAACATTCGATATTTTTAGTCCTTTACATTCAAATCTCTTTCAGGAATAAATCCTTGGGCTGGGATTTAGCTCAGTGGTGTAACCACCTGCCTGGCAGGGTGAGGTCATGAGTTTGATCCCCTGTACCAAAAAAAAAAAACAAAAAAAAACCCCAAAAACAAAAAAACAACCTTCTAAGGAATAAATCCTTTATATATTCTTGGTATAATTCCTATCTGCCAGCTATAGAAGCACTTGCCTGTAGATGTGGCGGCTGCTGTATAATCTGCTGGTACTGCTGTAGGATCTGCTGTAATTGAGTATGTTTCTGCATTATCCCCTGATACTGGAAGCCAACTCGATGTTGTTGGTGCTGTTGCCAATGTGCTGCTGCAGCCTGCAACTGTTTTAACCTGGCATCCTCTTCCGGGTCCTCAGACTAAAGGTAAAAGAGGATAGATTTTTTGAGTATGTCAATGAAACAGAAACAAAATTAGTATTTATAAATGTATTGTTAAGTCCACAATCCCTACAACTCAGGCTGCTCAAGAAAACTACTCTAGATAAAGCACACAGCCCTATATGTATTGCTATCATGGATACTGACACAAAAGGGTTGTAAGTTCCATAGTCTTCACTGGACTAATCTTACTGTTCCAAAACCGAACTATTTCCCCTGCAGAAAGAGTATCTACCATTACAGTCCTTTTCACTCCATGAGAAACCCTCCAAACCCATCACTTTTATACAATGAACTACAATGTAATTTTATAATTCAGTAATGCTGGGAGAACAATGATTCTTGGACCAATGTGATAAAATCTCATGTTCTAGGCACTGTGCCATGTATGACACACTTCATGCTTTGACAGCTCTCTAACATAGCTATTATGTGAAAATGCCCATTATGCAAATGAGGCAATTGAAGTTCAGAATGGTTAACTTGCCAGGTCACCACCAGCAAAGTGACAGTACCTAGACTACAGCTGAGGCAACTGACCCTAAAAGCTGACTGAAGCTTTCAACTACTGTCCTGTGCTGTCACTGTGAAGACACCCAGGAATTTCCCTTTAGCATTGAGACACACTCAATTAAGAATAGTATCTAATTCTTTAATCTCACATACACCGGGAAAAATTCCTTTTCTAAACTTCATAGGGCAGACAACTGATTACCTCCAAGTGGAGTTTTATAGGTTCTTGAACACATGAAAGTCCGTATTATTTATGACAAAGGTACACACAAATGAATCAGAAAATAATTAACTATAGGTTACCTGTGGCTCCTCAGGTGGGAGAGGAGGTGGTGCCTCCTCCTTTGTAGGTGGTAACGGAGGTTCCTCAGATGAAGGAGGTTCTGAAACTTGACTGGTGGCAGGTCCTGTAACTTCTTTTACTGGCTCTGGTACATCTTTTGCTACGACTGGGCCCTTTTTGTGCCCAGGCAAATGCACTTTTGTCCTCTGCTGCAAACTAAGCAAGTGCTGTCGATACCAATACTGCTGCTGTTCCTACAACAGAAATCATTTTTACGAATTTTAATTGACAATCATTTATCTCTGCAATTTGGTGTTGACAGGACTATATTTGTGCCTACATTCTTGTGTCTATATGTAAGAAGAGACACAGCTGGATGAAACAGTAAAGTTAACAAGATCTTAATGATCTTGAGAGAAAATTTTTAGTTCCACTCCCAAATTTACAGATTTAAATGAAGCTGTATGTATATATGTATGTATATATACATATAGCATGTACGTTCACATACTTCTTTATTCTTTGAAAGCACATGCTTTTGGAGGTAAGAGCAGTCTTTTTGATAAACGATCAAAGTAAACTCTTTCAATGTGTACATCCACTACCTTTTAACTTGCTTTTAGTGGTCAAATTTATCCACAAGGGTCTTATAATTACTGAATATAGTCAAATAGTCCTACCTTTTTTCTCTTCCTTCACTTGTCTCCAGTGCTCCTCCCTCTTTTTTCTTTTTATCTTGGGGGGAGGGGATGGTGCTAAGCTACATCTCCAGTTCCCTAAAAAAAATTTTGTTTTGTCTTTTGAGACAGGGTGTGAGTATGCAGTTCTGGCAGGCCTTGAGCTCACTTTGTAGCCCAGGCTCATCTCAACTCGCAACGATTCTCCTGTCTCTGCCTCCCGAGTGCTAGGATTACAGATGTGTGTCACCAGACCTGGCTCTTCTTTTTTTTAATTTAAAAAAATTTTTAAATCAGGGTCTTTCTGGCTTCGTTGCCCAAATTAGCCTCAAATTTCTGATCCTCCTGATTCAGCCTCCTGACAAGCTGGGATAAAAGGTATGTACCACCAAACTTGGATATACAGTTCCCTCAATCTAACTGTATTCAGATATACATACATTCATGATAATATACTGCTTCATAAATACTTTCATTTATTGAAAAAAAATCTCAGTTTTGACTTCCATATTATACTGAGTTTATTTTCTAGAAGTCTTATTTTGTGCTTCTACTTTTCAGAAATACAAACATTAAATTCAGTATTAACCCTAGGAAATAGTCCATCCTTATTATTTATATTCTGTACTTGCAAATTTGCCTACTCAATAAACTTTATTTCTGTATCTAATATGAATATTTGCTAAGTGTTCCCAGTTATTCACGAGCATGTGGAGAACAGTGCAGACCTGGAGTGGGTTGATACGCACATTCCCAGCTTCCCCATTCTGTTGTAGCCCTCAGACTTTTAAGTATCATTTCATGGACAATTTAGTGCTGTATTTTTTCACATATTTGTACTTTTTGTGGCGATGGGCTGTTTAAAGTGGTCCCTCAGCACAGTGCTGAAGTGCTGTCTAGTGTTCCTAAGAGCAAGAAGCCTGTGATGTGCCCTCAGGAGAAAATATATGTTACACATTCCTCATTCAAATAAGTACTCTAGTAATGCTGGCCCTGAGTTCACCGTTTATAATATATATTAGAAATAAAGTGTCTTTAAATAGAAAGCACATGTAAACAAGGTCATGCACAGGTCCTCAGGTCCTGTGATCTTCATCAGCTCATTAATGAGCTGATGAAGATCACAGGATCTGAGGAATCTAACATTATACTTCCCTTAGGAAAGCAAGAATATTGCCACAAGTCTGATGCTGCCTTAGATTATGTAGTAAGTGTAGTAAGTTCAAGGTTGGCCTGAATTACAGTGAAACTCTGTCTCAAAGAACTATGTAGTGAGATCCTGTCTCTGTATTTCAAATAAAGAAAATCAGTGGTATAAAAAAGCACTAATTAAAATCAATAAAAATATTACCACTCAATTACAGGATCTTCATTATCCTATTTATTATAATTTTGCAGTTACAAGCTTACATAAGGAAAAATAAAACTTGTATAATACTAATATACCCACTAAAAAACTGCCCTAGATACTTATATGATTTAACAGCAACATTTTTCTTTCTTTATTTTTGAAACAGCATCTCACTATGTAGTCTAGGCTGGTCTTGAGTTTATGGCAATTCTCCTGCTTCAGCTTCCTGACTGCTGGAATTACAGGTATGCACCACCATGCCTAGCTTATCAGCAGCATTTCTCTGCACCATGATTATAAGGAGGTAGGATTTTGTGAAAGTGACACTGGTGAATTTCAAACCATACTACTGACAGCTAAGCATCTGGCCAGCTAACAATCAGACAACTTTACAGTAAGACTTTACAATAAGAATTACAAAACAGAATGACCTGAATACTAAAAGTTTAAAAACAGCCTCTGGGAAAATTGATAAAGCCCTAAAATGTCTTCAGTATATCCAAAACTGAAATAACAGATAGGAAATGCTGCCATATAATGTCACAAAAATTACAACAGAGAAATCCAATCCATACTTAATTCTTTAGTCATCCTAAAACTCAGCTATAATTTCATTCATGGAAATTCCTGGCTGGTGTGGGGGTGCATGCCTATAATCCTAATGAGGTAGGAGGTCTGTCCCCAAGTTCAAGGCCAGCTTGGGCTACACAATGAGCTCAAGACCAGTCTAAACCACACTGTAAGACGTTGTCTCAAAAAAACAAAACACCAAAAAATTCCCTACAAAATCCACTAAATATAAAATCTGCTTATTCTCATCACTGAGTTCTTCCCCTAGATTATATCACAATCAACTTCTTGCTATGTTTTATAATAAACTTTTAGCTTTTGTGTTAAATGAGTTCATTTTATGTGGCCATTTTCTAACCCAATTGTCTTTGAAGAAAAATGATTATTGTTAACATTTTACTGTATAACCTTCCCCAATTTTCCAAATACAAAAGGTATACAGAATACATAAGATACATACATTTTTTCACCAAATATACTGGTTTGTTATCTGCTGTTTCACTCACAGAATGTTAATTTGGGGGGGGGATATCATCTGCATTTCTTGTGTCCTCTTTAGCAATGTGCTGGAGCACACAATAGGATGTCAATAAATGGTTACATATCAGCTGAAGACGTTTCATTTAGGTCACTTATCTGTATGATCTCAAACTAACTCCAATCCACTGAGAAGAACGAATTACATCTCACTAACTCCATTTTAAAGTTTTACCTATGACTGTAGTTTTTGTTTTTAATTGCCATATACATGTAAGTATCAGCTCCCAGAATATAACTACATTTACTATTCAACAGTTCAAAATAGCATACTATGACAGCTAATAATAATGTAATATCAAAATATTTTCAACTTTCTTCCATTATTTTAAGAAAGTACTCAATATATCAACAGGCCTATCCCTCAGCTTAAAAATTAGTTCAGTTACTTTCAAACAGAAGTTTCCTTAACTGTTTTAGTTGCTCTGAAAATATCACGAAAAGAGACATGTAAACTAGTTTTCAAAAACCAGAAGGCAATGGTATAGATAAGATTCTTTATCACTTTGTATGACTTCTACTCATGCTTTCCACCTTTGTCTTAGATACACTTCAATATAAGAGCCTTCTGGAGATTCAGGTACTTGGTGAATCACTGACACTATGTTTTACAGGTCAATTTCCATTTAATATGAACCCTATTTTCAGGAACTAGATATAGTCAATCCTAGGACTAGGCTTCATCACATTCTGGAAATTCTACAAAGGCATAATGATGGGATCACTCATAAATGTCCTTAGAGACCCCAAGAGAATGGTAATTATCTCTGTTTTAGTAAGGAAAAGACAGAGCTGAACTGGCTGACAGCTTTAGGAGTCAGTGTTTTCAAAGTCCTACCATACTAGACAATTGCCTCCTCTATGGGGTCCTGGTCATCAAGCGAAAGGAAATCACAGCCTATGTCGTATTTAAAGAGAGACTGAAGAGATTTAAGAACATAAGCATTATTTGCCATAAATATCAGTACTAAAAAAAGATGCCAATTTATTCAAGAAGCACTGACTGACCACTTGGTACTGACATAGTAATGAACTAGGTACTAAATGACCTCCAAGTAGGGAAATGTGAAGGAGATAGGTGTTTGGGTGTAATGTTTTAAAGATCAGTATGAGCCGGTTGTAGTGGCTCACGCCTGTAATCCCAGCACTCGGGAGGCTGAGATGGGAGGATAGTTGCGAGTTCGAGACCAGCCTGGGCTGGTGAGCTCAAGGCCAGCCTGAACTGCATAGCGAGACCCTGTCTCAAAAAAGACAAAAAAAAAAAAAAAAAAAAAAAGATCAATATGGAAGGTTACTTTCCCTGTCCAGGTTTATACATTACAAATACCTCTAATACTTAATAAGCTACATCATATCTTAAAGTGAGAGGAGAAAAACCTGGTAAAATAATGAATCATATTTATATTTTAGAAATTAACTTAAAATGGTTTAAGTATTTTTAAGGTTCATAATCTACTCTAAAAACTAGGGCCATGAGATATGCTTAGTCCCCATTGTAAAAAAGGAAAATGCTCCTTTATCTCTTTCTCTAGCTCCTGCCTTCATTCTCTCTCATGCCCTTTCAGTCACAAACTTCTTGAAAGAGTTGTCTATACTCACCATCCCCATCCTCACCTTCCATCACTCCTCAAATCAATGCAAAATGGCTTCAGTCACTATGAAACTGCTCCTGCCAGGGTTAACAATAATCTACATGTCAGTAAGGGCAAAAGATAACTCAAAATCTCTATCTAGCTTGACCTGTGAGCAGTACTTGACACAGCTGATCGACCACTCCCTACTCCTAGAACAGTGATGGCAAACCTCCGACATGCGTGCCTCAGTGGGCACAGAGAACCCTATCTGCCAGCGCAAGAGCCAAGTTGTGTCAGTATCACCCCAGCCGCCAAGCATTTAGCTTTAACTGTGTGTTGGCATTTTGAGATAAACAAGTGGGTTTTGGGTTGCAGTTTGGGATTCAGTCTCTAACAGGTTTGTCATCCCTGTCCTAGTCTTTCCCTTTACACACCATGGCACTGAAGTCTGGGTTTTCCACCTATTTATGTAATTCAGTCTTTCCTGTACCAGCTTCCTTAGATGCTGCTATTATGTGAGGCTAGACCCAATGCACTTTAATTTC